TAAAAAGCTCAGAGAATAGAGAATCATCCAGGATGGCTCCTACATTCACAAGTCATTTGAGCATGTAGATGTGAACATATATGAAATGGAACTAGGCACAGGATGAATCTAAAAGTAAGCATGTCTTTTCCCCTTATGTTCTTGTTTTAATTATTATTTTAAACTGCTCTCAGGTCATTTACTCATAGCCTTTACCATAACCATCATCATGGAATCAGACAAACACACAAAAATACCACCACACCTGCACTGGAAACTGTTGACTTTGCAGTGCCTTGGCCTCCATTTTCTATGTGAACCTCACACTGAACTAACTAAATTTATACAACACTTCATGGGCTTCAGCAACTGTTCTGTCTTTTTATGAGCTGGAGCAGAAAAAACAATTCTAAACTGTGCAATAGAGCCTGACAGCTTGAATGCAGCCACGAAATAAAAACATAATAAACCCAATAGCATGAAAAATAATAAAAGGGCAAAAACAAGGAAATAATTCAACAGATGTGTGCCATTTTTGTTCTTCATTGTGGATCAGTTATTCTTGTTAATTATATCACCTATTCTTCCCTTACATTGATAATTACATGAAGCAGATGGAGAACAGAATGCTCCCAGATGGTGAGAAAGCAAACAAGTTTATAAATTGTTTATTTATGAAGAAATAATTAAGAATTATTTCATTACCTATAGCTTTCTATTCCACCAATAATGACATGCTTCGTGAAGGCCAGCAGCACTTTATAAGATATTCAGGATTCTGTTGTAACTGACTGTTTTTCATGTAACATGACTGCAGTGACTGACAGATGTGCAAACCAGAATAATAATCTAATCTGTTTTAACACTGAGGGAATTAAAGAGTTTGGATCTTTGGATCTCCTGCCAGTTGGCACTCCAGCACTGGTTGCCGATCCAGAATACAAAAATTAGAGAATTCCTTTTGCTTTGGCACAGCTGGACAAAGTGTTTGATCTAATGAGTAGGCAGGAGCTCTGTCAGGTCTGTGTCCTGAACCCCAGCACAGCAGATGTGTGGCCGATGCCATTCTGAGCCAAGATGTGGCACCTCTGCCACACTTGCTGCTCAACAGGTATCCTCAAGCCTGGACACCTCAGGACCAGATGCAAATCAGCAACTGTGTCATTCTAGAGGGCTGCAGTGGGAGATTTGATGGGAGGCAAGCTTAACATCTCCTGCTTTGTGGCTTCCCAGACTAGTCTTACCCAATTTATCCAAATCTCATCAGCAGAGCAATGGGAGACAGTTTGGTAGGAGCAGACACACAAAATCAGCAGCAAAATGTATTTCCAATCTCAAAGCATATGAAGAAGTAAGGAAGAATTTACAGCCCTTCAGGAAATGGAGCCACTGCTTGGGGAGTGACAGGGTTTCTGAGGCAAAGATGAAGCAGCACAGAGCTGTGGTTTAAGAGAATAAGTTAAAAGATATGTGATGGTCTTAAAACCTACAGCAAAGCATTCATGAAAAGGATGGCAGACAGGGGAGGAGCAGGGAGAGCTCCTAAGCTCTAGATTTCTCTGGAGTCAGAGCCATTTTAGCAATAGGCCAAAATAACACACACCAAAAGCCTGCCTCAAATCAGAAACCAGACTGAACCAGGGGAAATGCCAGAAGGGCCTGGAGAGAACAAGGAGAGTGGAGAACTGCAGGTAAATGGACACACAGGTAACAGTTGGCTGTGGAGTTATAGGGCAAGATCCTATAATTTAGGAGCACCTTTCTCCAGCTGACATCTAGCTCTGACAGAGAGCCCATTGGAGGAAGGATCTCTGCCTCCTTGAAAACCACAAGACACAGCTCACGCACCCTGCATGAGACAGGAGGGAACAGGCCAGGAATCCACGGGAGAGCAACACATGGCACTTCCCCTTTGGTGGTTTTTCCAGACATCACAGAAGAATAGAGAGAGTTGACAGAGGGACAACAAGAACAAGTTGCCACAGATTGTGCTCATCTGTCCATAACAACTGATCCAGAGCTGCAGAAAAAGCACCTCTCCAGCACAGACAAGATCCATGTGGACTGGCAGTGCTCTGGAATTAGCTGAGAGCAGAGCTTCTCTGGTTTAGATTGATGGTTTCTCTTCTGGCTTTGGAAGAAGGAAGCAGGAAAGCGCCCATGCAGGCCCAGGATCTGTATCTATGAGTGAATTCCCTTCGTGCCCTAAGCAGGCTAGAAGGTCCTGGGGAGACAGTGACTGATGGAGCCCGAGAGTTCCCACTCTCACTCACTGAGATACAGAGCTGCTGACAGCCCACAGACATCCACACACACATCTGGAGCTGTGCCTCCACATAGAACAGCTGAGCTGCTCAGCCCCAAGCTCTTACTGGGGAAAAAGACACTCTGCAGCTAGAGAAGGGGAGCAAGAGCTTGAAAAGGGCTGGAACAAGAGGAAGGCAGCTGAAAAAGCAACAGATGAGAGGCAGATGTTGATTTGTTGATTACTAGATATCAAGGGGCATCTTGTGGATATCAAAGCAAGAATATCACCACAATTATCCCCATTACCAGCAACAGATACTCAAGCAACCAATTAGGGCAGGCAATCAATGAAAATTTTTCCTTTCTGAAATCACCTTGCATTTACAATCCTCATCCTGTAGTTCATGTGACAAATCCTGCCACTACTGCAGATCACTCTAAAGCAGCAATTACATTGATAACCTGCCCTCCAGCTCACGGGAACAAAGTGGGCACAGATTCACCTCTAGAGGAGCTGCTTTCACAGAGGAGAGGGCAAAGCCCACTCGCTTTAAACCAGCTTGGTGAGCTGGGATAGAGACGTGGGATAAAGAAATGAGGAGTGGTCTCAAATGCTTGGAATCCCTGCTTGCCCAATCTAAACATCTTTCAAGATCCTGCCCTGATCTTATTTGAAACCACCAAAACAAAGATGATAGAAGATATTTTCTCCTTACTCCTCTGCAGGTGCTGGCCTCAGACTTCTTCCCATTAATTCCTACTCTTTGCACGCCTTTCATCTTTCTTAATCTCTTCTCCACACTTTCCTCACAACATTGTTCTTCCATGTCCTTTTTCCCTCACTTCCCAGCCCATTAGCATCTTCTACAACCAAAATGTGTTTCACCTTGTCTCACTGTATTTCATAAGGTGACACTTCTCAGCCTTTCCCTTCTGCAGAGCTAGCACATTTATCTCCTTGGTGAGACAGGTTGTTCTCTGCCTTACAGATTCCACCTTACTGTTTACAGTAGGTCTGAGAAGCCTTTTAATCACTACAAAAAGGCAGAAAGATAATATTGTGCCTACTGAAACTTGGTTATATTAATTTATAAGACACACCTCAGTTTATTTGTAACTTCACTACAGTATTGGGCAAGGTAGGGCAAGATCATTGATGGGGATCAATCTTCCTTTATGAGGGATCTGAGCAGAGAGAGGGCAAGTGCCTTGTGGCTGGCTGCAATCCAAGGTCTAAAAGAAGCACCACCTCCTTACTCATGAGTACACCCAGTTTCCCATGGCAGCCTGCTCCTTATGTTACACAGCTTCCCAATGTAGGGTGACCAAAGGTCGCTTCATTCACTCAACAGAAGACTCAATTTAGCTTTACATGGTTTCAAGTTCTTGGTATTTCAGAGAAGCCAGCAGCAGCACCAGACTAGCTTTATCCTCAAGTTACGACCCAGCACTTAGCCCCAGATGTCCATTCTGATAGAGCACAGTCTGTCAAAAATCTATAATTCATGCAGAGGCAGATGCATGGATACTTGCCTTGAGCTGGGGTTTTTCCAGTACAACTTAGCAAAAATTTCACACATTCTTTTGAATAGAAATCTAAATCTGAGATTTCAAACCATTATGCCACTACGTACAGAGAAGCTCAAAAAACCTCAGGAAAAACATGAGGAGACAAAAGATTTGCAAATTTTTCAAATGCAGGATGCCTGTGATTTTCCAGCTTCAACAAAAACACTAAGATAAGCTCTTTTAGGAAGTGAGCAATCACTTTAAATATTAAGAATAAGAAACAGTTTAAAGAAAAGCATCAGAGTTTTTCATTCTGCAGATAAAGAGAAAGGCAGGGATGTGCATGTGAAGGGAAGGCTGTTGAACAAAGCCAAACCCAGACCGACAGCCTTAGCCATGTTCTGGATTTCGCTTTGCCAGCTGCTGCCTAATTAAGAGTTTTAGGTGCCAAAACCTCCTGACTAACTGAGAAAAGGACAGCTCTAAAAATATTATATGGAAGCCCATCTCAGCCAACTGGAAGTTAGCAGACAGACATAAAGCTCCCTAATTATGTTTCTCCACAAAATTACGACTACCTACTGAGAGAATCCATCACTAATTGTGTTTTTCCTAATATTTCAGCTTCACCAGTTACTCTTTTGAGGAATCACCTTCATGTCAAATTTTAGTTACTTAAAAAACGTAAGAGAATGGGGTGTAAGTTATTTTAAAAATGAAATTTAAAGAGACTTTTCATTTAGAACCTCCAGGCCACACCAGTTCTTTGCAAGTAAAACCATTTGCTAGTGAAATTTGCTTTTCCTTTGCTGTTAAGTCACTTGGTGTTTTAAGGGCATCTCATGCATGGAAGAAACTTGATTTTGGGACTGAAAGATAAAATGCACTGAAGCAATCTCTACAGAAAGAGACAACAGCACGATATTGTCTTTTTTTCCGCTTGCAGAGCATGACACCTAAATAAAGCTAGCAGGAGCAAGGGCTCAGCAGCAGGCAGAGCATTTAGAAGACGTTGGGAGGCCACGACAAAGCGCCGCCATCGTGGGCAGCGGAGCGGGAAGGGCTCTGCTCCAGCAGCGCGTGCCGGGCTGCAGGCCCAGCCCGGCCGGGCGTGGCAGCAGAGCGGGATCGGGATCGGGCAGCCAGCGCGGCTGCTGTAATTAAGGAGCAGCCCGTGAGCACTGGGAGGTTAATGCCAGCCCATCTGCCAGGCCACGCACGAGCTGGCACCGTGCCTCCCGCCTGCTGCCACTGCTGTTACCCACCTGATCCTTGGAGACTTGCTCCGACGGAGCGTTTTCGCCAAGCTCTTGCAGAGGATAGACAATCTGTCGTCTCGGCCGCACGGGAGCCATGTAATGAAGGGCAGATGTCAGGGAATGAGCACAGGGATGCTGGAACTGAAAGACAGCAATCCATATTTCAGCAGAGAGAATGTCAGAGCAGTGCATCACAGATGTCTGCTGCATGGCTTCACAAACACACAATTCTTAGGTCTGTTGGCTAAATCTGAGACAAAAATCAGCAAATAAACAAACATACTCAGAGCAGAGAAATGAATTGCAGATAATTCCTGACACTAATGAAGATAATTATGAGAGTAATTACATTACTATCTCTGTGGGAATGACAGATAAACAAGTGGTTTGGTTTATGGGATTTTTCAGCGCAAGTATTTTCCCCAGGAGGATATTTTTCTCCATAGTGATCATGAATCAGCTTGATTTGACCTCATTAAGCTGTGTTATCTGCTCACTGCTAACCTTTGCTCGCCTGGCAAGGAACGGAGATGAATTTATATAGAAATTCTATACCGACTGAAATGTCTGGTTCATCCAAGTGATAAATGTTAATAAACTGTCAGAAATTTGAAATGAACAAAACCCCAGCGCTCATCTGAACAGCCACGATCATTAGAAATCGCTGAATCTGCCTATTGCACCATGACTGCCTCTGGCATAAGTGACAACATGAAAGGGAAGAAAATAAGAGAATTACAGGAAACGCAGAATTAACATTAATGCAAACTAAATTACACTCAAGTGCCATTCTATCCACAAATACTAAAAACTTGAGGTTACTATGTCGAGAAGTAAGTGAAATATCACACTTAGCACTTATTAGATAATAATATTAGATAACCTTAAGTAACTTAGAGTAACTCTAAGCCTGGTAGCCTGGAAACAGTCAAAACTGGAATCACTGGTAAGATTTCGTTTCTCTTCCATCCAGTGCCATTAAACTGCATTTCTGTGAGTGCCTCTTCAGAATCTGAAAGCCTAATGCTACGCAGGAACATTGGTTCCTCACAGGAACATTTAGAACTCCACAAAAGTGCATGGGAAAACACATCCTCCTGCAAATGTACCCAAGTCTAACCTGTCAAAGAGTTCCCATGTGAAAGCCAGTGGTGGTTTCAAAAACACCCAAGTCACCAAGGACAGAAGCCATCTCAGTCACCATCTAAACACCAGGTGCCCAGTCCAGCCAGCCAGGCAGAAGCCCAAGCTGGTATTCAGTCTCCAGGGGAAAATTCCATCTGTCTCAAGAAAGCCAGGTATGACCAAGGGATGAACTGCCCTTGCGATGCACCAAGTGTTTCCATCAGAGGTGCCAGGAGCCTGGGACAGACAGCAGCTTCAGACAGCATGAAAATTTTACCTTGTGTTCCCTTTTCTGACATGAGACTGATGACAAAACACGTATGTTAGTGCTTCTGAATTACATTCTTCTGGGAAATGGATTTTCTCCATTGGAAGTTCAGTTTTTACAGTTCTCCCATGACACTTGCAGGAACACAAGTCCCCCCTTCAAATGCCAGTGAGGGTGAAACACAAAAGGGTTTTTATAACACACACCTGGATGTGTTCAGGATGATCCCCTTGCATTTACTCAAGCTACATTACCCTTGTTGCTGGGCAGTGAGCCAAGGCCATTTCCACTCTCTGCCTCCCACCACACTTCCTGAAGACACCATGGACACCATGGATCACCACAATGGACACCATGGATCAGCCCTGCTATGCAAGAGATGTGTCCACAGGTCCAGAATATGTCAGGCAGGAAGAAAAGAAGGCACAGTTTGCTGCAGATTGACAAGAAAATCCCTGTTTGCAGTCATTCATGGAAGCAAAGAAAAAATAAAGTGATAAAATATGGCAATATTTAATACAAGCTTACCTTGCTCTCCACATATTCTGGATAAATAGGGTAGTAAAGAGAAGATTTGTGACCCAAGCGAAGAATCTCCTTTAGAAAGTATTTTGCATAGTGATGAAATGCAGGATTCAAGACAAAGTGGCAAAGATGTCCATGTTCCTCTTGCTGGTAGTCATTAAAATGAATGAAGTCCTCAATACTGTAATGTGATCGAATATACTCAATATCCTGCAAAATTAGGAATTTGTGAGTCAGCAGTGATCAGCAGCTACCTTGACAGGATTTTAGTAAATACCAACCAATGAGTCACCTTCTATCAATCAGGGAACTACATTTGAAAACTGAAATCAAGTGTCTTTGAGAGCTGTCAACTGAAGGGCATTGAGTAAACAGATTTTTCTTGAAAATCTTGTCCTTGTATCAAAACCTCTCCCTTTATTTACAAGGAATGCACACCCAACCCTTACCCAACAATGCCTGACACAAGTTAACAGACACCCAAGATGAGGGTAAAAAACCCCACCTGTTCTTCTGCATTCAAGGCACAGAAGCCCAGGCTTTTACCTCTCACCAAACTCCAGCTGAAAAAGGGAATTCCTCATGGCAGAGCTGTGTAAGTCCCTGTTGAAGTGATAAGCTGATATTTTTGCACATTTATTCACTCAATCTATCCTCTTAGGTCTTAATATAACCAAGAGAATTACTCTCAGAAACAGGAGTGACTGTTCTATTGTGAAAACTAAGCATTAGAACTGCTGAACAACCTAAAATCCACCTTTTGAGTCCTAGCAGAATGCCACAAAAGTAAGACTTGGAGAATGTCTACTATTCAATAATAACGTGCACTATCTTTTTTTACTACATTGGGGAATAGGCTTTTGTTTTCAAGTACATGATTCACAATCACTTAGACTTCACTGTTGGACAAAAAAGTTATGAAAGCAAATCTAGAAGAAGAATTACTGCTCTTTGTAGGATTTGTGGCAAAGCTGCTTACTGACTTGGAAAGTAGAAGGGAAAGAGGTGATTAAACACCTATTTAGAGGCAGACTGGCTTTGTGCTAAAACACCAAAAAGTGCAGGAGGAAATCTTTCAGGACATAGCAGCAGCTTCTTAAAAGTAACAGGATCATTTTTTTTCATCTCTATGTCAATCATTATCTACGATCAGAGAAATAATACAGTGGGCATAGGCTAGACAGCTTCTACAAGAAGCATTTTTACAGACACTTTGCTAGGCACAAGTACAGTGTCAAGCACAAAACTCAGTCTTACTGTGAGCACCAAGCACCACAGAGCTCATGGAACACAAACTGAATTTACCATTTCATCCCTAGTGACAGAAACACCAACGATTTGATCCAAAACTTCTGCTACAAAAGCCTGTACTGGCATCCCATCCTGCAAGGTAAAGGCAACAGATGCACATTTCCAGTTTCTGTAGAATCTCTTTCTATGATAACCTTGTATTTCACCACAGAATCCCAGTTAAAACACTCTCCTCCCAGTGCAGCTCCCAGGCACCACCCCAGTTTAACCAGCCTGCTCCCCAAGAGGGCTCTGTTTGAGCCAGGTGTGTGGCTGGACTCTGGACCACACAGACCCTTCCTCACTGACACTTCAGTTTGGGTACAGCTGCTGCAGGAGTGCTACAAGCTCAGCCACTGCCTCAGTCCTGGGTTAAGTCCTGATCTTAGGACAGAACTGAACACCTATCAGCAACAAATACTCACTGGATCCCTGCGAGCCTCAGTGAATATCTTTGAGTCATTCCATATCCTTTCACTCAAGCTAAGACTTTCAACGAGCATTTTGACACCCTGTAGGTCACTGGTTGCTGCTTTTCTTACATTAAATGACCTACAAAAGGACAAAAAAAAAATTAAAATTGACTCTGTGACAAAATAAGGACAACTGCCAAGCTTAAGACAACACACCCTTCACAAGTACCAACAACACCATTCAGAAATTGTAGCAGATAGCTAAATAACACTTGTTCCAAAGGCAGATATGAACTTATTGCATGGTAATAGAAAAGATCAGAGCATCTACTTCAGACAACTCCAGAATCCTGCTTTATTCTGCTATTAAACACTCAGCCCAATTAATAACCCCAGGTATCACTTGTCTTCAAGTGAGTAAAAGTCAGCAATAAAGGGAGCCAAAGAACCATAAAATCAATGTGGAATCTGTAGCTGAACATTGTGGCACATGGGGAAAAGAGCTAGATTAAAACAGGGAAAGGCAAGAAAAAATGAGAAAATGACAGAGAAAAATAAAACTGAGCCAGCTGTCATAGTACAAAGTAAAGCAAGAACATAAATTTCTCCGAGAACAAAATCACTAATTTTTGTGTTATGCCTTGGTGCCTCAAGCACTAACACATGAGGATAAACTTACATGACTGCAATGACTCTGCAGAGCGTGGAGTGCCAGTTTGTAATGACACAGTAGTGAGCTGGTACCAGAATGCCTGTGCCACACATGGAACACCTTACTTACAGACAGCAGTAACCTGGCACTTAGCTAACATCTTCCCACTGAGTAGTTAAAAAGAAAATTTACTTCACACTGACAGTCTACAGCAGCTGATGAGTTCTCCCAGTGAATGTCAAAGGTAGCAACCTCTTCCTAGATACACACAGCTCATGCAACCCACACTTGTGGAGTGCTCTTCAAGAAGCTGAACTACAGCTTCAGTTCCAAGAAATCAGTTCTTTCTTACTCACAGACAAAAAGTTGTGATTCACATAGTATAATCTTTTTATTCCTGTTCTTCTGGCTTTCAGTTTAAAAGTGGATGTGCTAGTCTTCAGCCTCAGTCACATTGAGAGGCATCTTGTGGAATACAAGCTTAATGCATAGCACTGGTACCTTAAACCAAGATTCTGGTATGTTATGAGAAATTTCACAGCTGAATTCACTGACCATTTTTGAGAGCTCAAAAGCACACATTTGGTTACTAAATTAAAAACTAATCCTGACCTTCTAAGTGAGCATCAGCCGAGCTTCTGCAGCTTCTCACACGTTTCCACTGTTGATTGGAAAACCCAGCAGTGCTGAGAGCTGCAGCTCACTTTGGAGGAGTGTGCCCACGTCCCACCGCTCCCCAGCCCATCCCACCAGCTTTGCCCCACCCATGCCCCAGGGGAAGCAGCTGTGCCTACAGGGAACTGTATCTCGAGCGTGACAAAACCAGAACGTGTGAGAAGTTGAAACTGCCTTTTTTTTTTTAAAAAAAAAAAGCATATCCACCAGCTCCAATGGGGTTATGGAACAGGAAGGAGGACTATCCAAGGTCTGTACTCATTTCTCTCCCAGCAATGAATTAACTCATTCTAGATGCTCAAGTCCTTTGACTGCTCAGAGACAAGGACACTATTATTATTATGCTTTTTAGTGAAAATTGAGGGAAAGTACCCATTAAGAACCTCAGCCTATGCCTTGTCAGCTGTTATTTTTTTCTCCTTCACTGTTAAGTAGCAGACTCACTGTTCCATTTGCTGCACTCTTGCTTTTTGTGTACTTAACACTTTTTCTTATTCCTTTTTACTACCTGTACTAATCAAGAGCTCATTTTGTGCCTGTGCCTCTTGTGACTTTGCCCTTTCACGTCTTCATATTCCCCTCTTCTTACCCCGTTTTTCTTTTAGTCCATTTTCTGTGGCTTCCTTTTCACTCACATGCTTTTGAAAGCCGTAGGTGCAAGTACAACGCGTTGATCTTTCACTTTCACAGATTTTGGTTATTTCCAAGAGGGTATCTGCTGTTGCAGCCTGTGGGTTTTGTTCTGCAGAAACTTTCCAAAAGCTTACTCTGGTTTCTCCCAAAGGTTTTCTGATCATGAACCTCAACGAGCAGCTATTTTCCCTTACTTTCCTGCAAAGCTGCAGGGGGATTTGGAAAATGCTACTGATGACCCTATTTTTTTTCATGAAAGACTGGTGTAATTTGGAACATGCACAATGTAATCAGGACGGTAACTTTTTTTTAAAGAGCCTTGATAACAACTTGAATTTTGCCCAAAATTGCAAGAGGCATATGAGTCCCAACCCTACTGGTGGATTACTGAGCAGCTGGGCCTGAGATTACCAGGAATTACTCCAGCACTTCTCTCTCCAGCCAGCTGGATTTTTACTCAGGACCCAGAAGGAGAAGTTTCATCCCAGGGCAAAAAGCTTCTGCCTCAGTCCAAGAGTAGCTGGCCAGCTCCTGCATGAAGTATTTGTGTACCACCAGAGGCGATTAGATACACAATTAAACCTAGAAGTACTTTGCTAAAACCACACAGTATTTAGGTACATTAGGACTAAAACCAAAAAAAGAAAATCTTTAACTACACCACAATTTAAGCTTGGTGTTTGGGCCAGAATAGAATTTATATACAAGCAAAGCTATGGAAAATTCATTCCATGTAGCAGAAGTCACAGCAAGAAAGGTTTGGTGTTGCAGTTCACTGATATCTCAGCTACAGAAGTTTTCAGATCATCACAGAAACTGCAGGCATGAAATAAATGATTCAACACCAAAAGTAAAAGAGCAATTATATAGAACAGGTACTCAACAGTGTTCCTGCTGTGATCTGTGTGTCCCAGAAACACATGACTATAGTTCTCTTAAGAAAGCTACAGCATATTTCCAAGAATTAAATCTACTCCAGGCTATCAGGTGCCAGTGTCACACAACCTGACCCATCCCCAAGGCCAAACACAGCACCATGCTTCTCTGCTGGCCTTGGCCCACAAGCAGGGAACTTGGAGCCACCGCTCCATACCAGTGTCCATCTTCCCTACCTTAGTACAGCATACACAAATCCCAAGTCAATCCTCTCACTGCACTTGGGCTCTGCTGAGAGGACACTCCCTACAAATGCTGGCAGGTGTGTCCCACAGCAGCCCAGAGCACAGCAGGGCTGTCCCAAGGCATGACTCACGTGAGCAATCCTGCCCGGTGGAACACGTACAGCTCCCGACCCAGCCTGGAAGTGCAGGAAGGGACAGCCCGAACAAAGCTCTGGACCAGGGGGAACTCTGGGACATGATGTGGCACCAGGATGACACACAAGTCTCTGTCCTGAAAGACATTGGCAGGCAATAAAAGTGTTTTCTAAGCTTTACCCAAATCCCTCTGAGGGGACAGACAGCCCTGAAAGCGGGCTTTACACTGCACACCACCAAGCACTGCTCTGCCCGGGCAGCATCAAGGAACTGACAGCTCAGAAACGGCTTCACTTCAAGCAAACTGTGGGATGAACCTTCCTTACTGCATCTGGTAATTCCATTGTGACATTTTCTTTCAAAGACTAACATTGTTGGATGGATAAATTACATAAATTTGAAATGCTTTTTGGGTCAGCTCTCTCTAGGAACTCTCTTTGGTGGTAAGCAGTGTTTTTGAGTGTGCTGGTTCTTAGGGCCAAGACAGTGTCTCTGGTACCCAGGCCTGTCCCTAAGGCACACTGCCATGCAGTTATTTGTTACATGACTTTACACAGGGCATCAGTGGGAAATAGCTACTGCACTGTGAATCCACAGTGCCACAGTTCAGTCTGTAGGTAAATATTATGAATCTCCTTAATACCATTGTTTTATAGGCTTTAACTCCATCTCCTTTAATAAATTGTGCTGATTTTGTTTTTAATGTAAGTATGGTCTGGATGTGTACATGGTTTTAGAGGAGTTTGAAGCATTTCTTTTTCTAAACCTGCATCTTAGAGAAGTCCCTGTGGAACATAAACTAGGAAGACTATTTACAAGAGCACACAGTGGCAGGGAAATGCCTTTACACTGACAGAGAGCAGGTTTAGATTACGTTGCACAGAAAAATTCTTCTCTGTGAGTGTGAGGAGGCCCTGGCACAGGTTGCCCAGAGAAGATGTGGCTGCTCCATCGCTGGAAGTGTCCAAGGCCATGTTGGACAAGGCTTGGAGGAATCTGGTCTAGTGGAAGGGGCCCTGCCTATGGCATGGGTGGAAACTGGATGATCTTTAAGTTACTTTCCAACCCAAACCATTCTAGGATAAACAGAGGACTTAGGTATGCATTCCATGAAGTCGTGGGTGGAACTGGATGATCTTTAAGTTCCTTTCCAACCCAAACCATTCTAGGATAAACAGAGGACTTAGGTATGCATTCCATGAAGTCCAGAAGCAGACAAGGAGGGGGGTAGCTCAGCCCAGAGTAACCAGGCCCAGCACACTCATGTGGGGCAGACTCACTGGAGCAGTAGACCCACATCCCCTGGCTGCCAGCTGCACTGCTGTCCCACCACACAAAATCATTCCAACTTTGTTATACTCACTGGGAAAACGTTGAAAGCATAATGCAGAAAATCCAGTGACCTGCAACCAAGAGCAAATATAGGCAAATAAAGCACATATCAGAATGATCTCATACACTGTGATATTGACATCCCTGCAAGTGCAGGAACATTTATTCAGAGCTGATCAGACAATCCCAATAGATCATCACTAATCAATGTTGCATGCTGCACAGCAATTTCTGACTTCTAGTGCTTAAAGCATCGTTATTAACAAGAATAACCAGGATGTTTGACATAATACATGAGGCTCCTCACTAAAAGGGCAGGGGGAGGAACTAACAAAACATTGGCCCTCATGTTGTTGACTCCAGCCTCTTAAGAAGCTATTCCTGGACTATCACAGCAGCATTAGTATATAGCAAATATTACTTCAGGTTACAAACAGTTGTTGCTATGTTCTACAGTATTTTCAGCCAGCACCAAGGGCTCTGTGACTTTCCACTCAGGAAAACCTGCCCGATGTGCTCTGAGAGACTAACAGGAACATCAATACTTAGAATTGTTTTTAAACACTTCTTTTCACTTCTCATCCACTGACTTAGAGCTGTCCCAGTCTCTTTTCCATGGTGACAGCAAATTGTGACATTTCAGTTTAAAAAGACTTGAGAAATCTCACCAAAGCCCTGCTGTTTCTCCCATGTCTATCAAAGAGCTCAAAACCCAGTTATGCTGAAGTTTCATTAAACACTTTTCCACCACACAAGATGTATATTTTGAAGAAATTCATACAGATATATGTTACCTTATGAATACTGATAAATCCCCTCCTCCTTTCAGAACTGTAATTAAGCTCCCTTTAATTACCTCTAATAATATTACTTAAAAGAGAAATAATTTCTAATTGCAATATCTATGCCTGAATATAAACTTAAAGCTGCAAGTACGGATCAGGATTTGGGCATTATATATTCACCTATATAATATGTAACGAAGACTAGTTAACAGAATAGCTAATCAGGGGAAAGGAAAATACCATTGCAACTATACTGCACTGTAATTTTCTCTCTGGTATCTGGGACCTTGTTGGCAGCAAGGACCACAAGAATTGAGGTGGAAGATTTTTCAGGGGGCTTAGAAAAGTATCAAATATCAGCAGATAAGCCAGTAGTTCAGTTCCTTGACATTTCACTCCCAATGCACTAACAAGACAAATAACAGCTCTGGCTTTAGGAGATGGAAACATTTAGCAGCTTTAGTGGGTAACAACTCCCAAGGAGCAAACTTCCCTCAGGGCTAAGATGCAATCACACCTAAACTTCAAGCCAACTTCTTCTGGGTGCATGCTGTGCAAGGCCTCAGGACAAGATTCCAGGAGGCAGCCAGCATCATCTTGTGCCCTCCTTCACATGTATTTGCTTTGCTAATATTTCTTATTACAGGCAGGTAGATCAAGCAAAGGCAAGCCAGAGAAGCATACAAGCAAAATGTTTGAAAACACCAAGATCTACAGATTCCTCAGCTCTGCATAAGGTAATCTTAGGAAAAGTCTTCAGACAGGAATGCTGTCTCCTCCAGATACCCATCTTGGAAACAAAACTGCTCCACAGATGCCTCCAGGTAAAAAAACCTGGGAGCACAGCATTGAATGATAAATGCAGTGAGAAATGTCTTGAACAGAAACAGCAAACAAAGCACAGAGCTCACGAGGCAAAAAACCAGACAGATCCTTACGACAGGAAACTATGAGCAGAGAACTCAAGAAGTCTACAGTGAGATTACTTACTGACATAAATCTCTAGCAAAGCTCTGAACTGCTGTTTCAGTATAATGGAATCATTCCAGAGCAAGCCCCTGACTCACTAATATTTTAATATAAAGCTTTCTTATTCTGCAATAAGTATCTTGCTTGAATTTTTACACTAGATTGTCCCTCAACTGTTCTGGCCCAGTCTCTCAGCAGTGCAATTGTTCTTATCACACATTAGCTGGTCAGTGTTTCTAAGTACAACAAAGATCTTCTATGCTGACTTCCAGCACTTCACTAATTAAACTGGTTCTTAAACATGAGCTCTGTTACTGGGTACATCACTTGGGAAATACATATACAAAAGGCAATGTCTTGGCTTTGTTTTGGTAACTTTGTATATTTGAATTTACAGCAGATTCAGTGTTCAATCCCCTTGGGTAGGTGCCCTTCTTAATCAAGAAACTGCTCAATAAATAGAACCAGTTTTCAAGGAATTCTCATTTTTCTTCTCAGTGAAGTTTACTCTTACACTTCTTTTAAGACAAAGTTCAGAAGTTGCTACTCACCAATGACTGAATAGACAGATGTTTGTTCAAACTGTACTACACATGTTCAATTCACCTATCAAGCCCTTACTCTTGATGCCTGCTGTCTGCAGATATGACATGGATTTGAAAGCATGGAAGATCCTGGGTGTGCTCAGCTGCTTTGTCTATTCTTTGTCTTCCTTTCCACCATCACATTGAAAAGGAATAAAGTTCCTGGAAAAGTTTCTGCTGGTGTGGTTGAATATATATGTGGTTGAATACATTCTGCTGGTGTGGAGAGAAACTTTAGAAAAAAACATCTAAACCCCATTTATAGCCCTATTCTAATCCACCAGGATGTAAGAGTGTGAGGTCAGCACAGCAATTGTGTATTCTGCTGGTGTGGAGTGAAACTTCAGAAAAAAAACATCTAATAGCCCTATTCTAATCCACCAGGATGTAAGAGTGTGAGGTCAGCACAGCAATTGTGTTAAGAGAAAATCCTGTTGTCTCCCCTAGCTGTAGAGGATTCTAGAAAACAGAATCATTTCTTTCAGTGACTGGAGACAGTGTTTAGAATGGGAACATTCACCTGCAGAGCTAAGAACAGCTTTATTGCCCCATGCAATGAGATGAGAACTACTCTAACATGTAGCTCCTCTTGCAGCTAGCCAACTTCAGAATGAGTATCTCCACAGAAGGAAACAGCAGCCTTTTTCCACAACCTCAACTCACATTGTTTCCAACAAAAATGAATTCTTCACGTTTTGCCCCCATAGACCTGTCAAAGTTAGGAAGTTACAAGCAGAGGTTGAAATGTTATTACTGAAGATAAAAGAAGCAGACAATAAAGAGGTCAGAAAAAAATCCCATCTAACCACTGCAGGTGCTGTCACTTTCTGATTTGTCCTGAAAACATAGCCTGGAAAATGGTTATTAATGGGAAAGCAGTGACTCTTCCTCTATACTTACCTAGTTTCATACTTCTCATCGATACAGAACAGACGGATACAGAAAACATTTGAAGCTCCTCTGTACACAGGATGCAAATCCCCCTCCTGATCAGTCTCCAGCACAGGTGCTGCTGAGCCTTTAGAGTCTATGTTGGTGACATTACCTACGGGCAGTTCAGACTGGGAGACGGTCACAGCTTCGTCTTTCTGCAACAATAACAGACAAGGGCTCACTTACAACACTTCACAGAGTGTTTTTATTAGTTAAGCCCCATCCTTTCTCTCCTGTCTGCAACCCTTTCTTCCCACTCTCATGGGAAGAACTGGATGGGTAAACTCACCTCTGATCCCCTCCCTCCAGGCCCCAGCCAGAGCAGCTTCTGACCCGTGCCCCACAGCAGAGGACAGGGCAGGAGGGAAACTCAGCAGTATTTGCTTGTCCTCATCTCTGCCAGCCTTGCTCCGTATCAGCTCTGAGAGCCAGCAGCACTGCTGGGTGTAGCAGCATTACCTGCACAGCCGCATCTGCATCAGGAACCTGTTCCAAATTTTGAGAAGAAACAGGTTCTGGCTCTTGACTTGTTTGGTTGCTTTCATCTTTATCTGAGTACAGTAAAAGAGAAAGTGCATAAGGTTTAATAAAGTGAGCTTTACTCTCAGAATCACAGCAATAGCTGGACTGGGCCAGGCTACCTCTATCAAAAGGTTTCATTTTAACAACAGTTAAATCAGACCCTCCCACAGTTACTTGGCTAGAGCTTCATTAGACTATTTGATTTCAAAGCAAAAAAAGCCCAAAAATCCAGGGAATTTATTGTAAAATAAGACCTTAACGAGACCATTTGGAAGCAATTCCTAACTTGTGTTTATCCCTTGTCAAATCTTTACCCTATCTGAACTGAAAAACAGGAGTCAGTGTATTGACTGATATCTTAAGCCCCATGTGTTGCTAACTTGCTTTCTGGTGATCACAAGGACAAGCAAGGGCTCTTCATTCTCAGATTAGTTCTCCTAAAATAATTGAAATTCAGGTTAAATGAATTTAACAGAAAATTCAGAGCTCTTACTGGTGCAGTAAGAGACAAGAAACAGGGATTATAATTCCTTTATAAATTTTACACAATAAACTGTTGAGGTGTAGGTGTTGCTGCTGAAGAAAACACATCAGGCAAGGGCACCCTTGCATTTGGAAAATTCAGTAACATTAAGCAAGTCAAAGTTTCTGAGTTCCAAGAAGAACACAAAATAAGCTTCAGAAAACAAAAGAATTCATCCCTTCTCCCTCTGAACTTTGCCTTGGAACACCCACATAAGCTACCTTCATAGACAGAAGCATTTCTTCACACAGTAATGGGCATTAAAAAAAAAAAACAAAAAAACTCATAGGTTTAAAATAATTTAGCGAGAAGTAATTAGGAAAAAAATATATTGTCTCAAAATCTGTTTCTCTGTCAAAAAAAAGAGTGCAGATGCAACATGCAGGGCAAGGAGAAATGCAGGGGTTAGGAATCATGGATTCTCTGGGGGTATCACAGATGTGAGCCTTCACAGAAATGATCAAATGTTGTCTTGATTAACCAGCTCCATTTCTCATTACCAACAGCCTTGCAGGTGTCAGAAGTTAATTAATACAAGTCTCTTGTTGTCATGTAAATATTGATATGCTGTTTCTGACTTCATACTAAAATGCAAATCCTTAATGGCTCCACCATCCACTCCTGTCAGACGTGGCTGCGTTGCTGTTTATAGACACACTGTACACGAGTGATGTGAAGAACTGCAATACTATCACTAAATCAAGTAAAGACCACAAACAAAGAAAATTAAAATAATTCTGTGATTGCTGGGTTGTTAGCTGAGGTACAGTCATCAGGATCAAGAAGCCAGTTCACCATGAGGCCTGATGAAAAGCCCTTGAATCATTCCCACTGCATCATGTTTTCTAGCAACTAATTCATGACACCATATAGAGTAACAACCAAATTACTGTAATTACCCTGAAACCTAAGTGGCATATCAGTACAGACTGTTGTATACTCTTTCATTATTATTCAGCATTACATTTTGAAAGGAAAAAAAATATCAACCTGTGGTCTCTACTTAAAAGCTAAAGAGCTTGGAAAAAATAGCCTTTTTATGTGTGGGAACATAAAATTATGAAGGAATGCAGCTTGCATTTTAAAATTTCCAGCCTTCAGAGTCCATAAAGCTAAGTCCAGATCTTCTGTTGATGTCAGGTCACTGAACCTGCTCTGTCCTCACAGCAGGACACCATCCAGCATCAAGTTTTCAATGCAGCCACTAAAGCAGCCTTCATGGAATGAGCATGGCTTTGCAATATCCACAAATGCAAACTGCATGGGACTAACACCACAACAGATTTCAAGGACACAGGCTGGCCTTGATGTTGGAAAGGCTTAACAATGGACTACTGGGATGCAACTCTTCTATTCTAAAATGTGCAAAGCTACAACAAAAATTTTAACTAGTATTCCATGATAACAGAATAAGTGTTCCTGAGCAGTGAATAGAAAACTCTGCTATTAGGTTTCTAGTGTCTCTCTCTAGGAATCAGGCACCAGAGTCAGGCTCTCATCTTACAATACTCGAGTTTCTCCTCATGTGTCCAAGACCATGCCTGGTTTTTCAGTTGGGGAGAGGGAGGGTGATCCCCTGTGGGGATTTGCCAGAGCTAAAGAATCAGCTGGTTTTGAAGGGCCAATCAGCTGGCTAAGTTTAGAGATTGACACCTGGTTAGACCACTAGAAGGAGTTAAATGTGCCCCTGTGCAAAAGTATATTTACTAATGAAGGAAACCCAGGAAAAACTCTTGGCTTCCAGCCTTTGAACAGGTTGGGCCGGGCTGGCCCTGTGCAGCTGAGCTCACACAGCCAGGTCAGCGCACTGCTGGGCTGGGATTTTTGCCACCTCACCATGCTGCTGGAACTGTCCTGGCACTGCGGGTGAGCGCACAACCAGGACTGCTCGGCCAAGGCCAGCACGGCCGGGGCAATGCCCCACAGCCAGGACTGCTCGGCCAAGGCCAGCACGGCCGGGGCAATGCCCCACAGCCAGGACTGCTCGGCGCCAGGACCGCTCGGCCAAGGCCAGCACAGCCGGGGCGATGCCGCAGAGCCGGGACCGCTCGGCCAAGGCCGGCACGGCCAGGGTGATGCCCCACAGCCGGGACTGCTCGGCCAAGGCCAGCACGGCCGGGGCGATGCCGCAGAGCCGGGACCGCTCGGCCGAGGCCAGCACAGCCGGGGCAATGCCCCACAGCCGGGACTGCTCGGCCAAGGCCAGCACGGCCGGGGCAATGCCACACAGCCGGGACCGCTCGGCCAAGGCCAGCACAGCCGGGGCGATGCCGCAGAGCCGGGACTGCTCGGCCAAGGCCAGCACGGCCGGGGCGATGCCCCACAGCCGGGACTGCTCGGCCGAGGTCAGTGCAGCCACAGCCACACGGCCAGGCAGTGCCACACAACCATGACTATTTCAGCATGGCTCACAAAATGAGCTTTGTTAACTCTGGGACCAGCCCCACGGTCAGCGCTTGGGGCAGCCCTGAGGCTGGGAGAGGCCGGGGCCAGGAGCAGCCACGTGGCTGGGGCCGTGCAGCCGGGATCAGAGCAGACAGAGCAGTGCCACATGGCCACAGCTATCTTAGAAAGACATGGAGGTGGTGCTGGCAGCAGCGCGACTTGCACGGTGCCAGCGGAGACCACGTGACCAGCAGCAGGAGGCATGGAGAGCAATTTCCCTGAGGCAGAGTCTGGAAGAGATCAGCCCTTCAGTGTTGCAGAACTCTATTAACAACCTGTTTCAGTTGATAAAGCTTGGGAACAAACGAACCTACAAACACCAATTCTCTCCCGAATCAGGAAAAGGAAAGAGTGAAGACACGTAGAGACAACAACATGGGACTTTGAGATCAGTGAAAAAAGTCCAATTCTAGATGGGAGCAGATTGAGGAGATGCCTTATTCTTGGGCTGAAATCCTCTTGTAAGGCTATAGAGAAGATATAATTGATACATCAGACTCTTTTCCCTGTAACTCATAGAAATGCATTAAGGGGATGTAGTGTTCTACCACAACTGTAAGCCAAGGCACCAGTACTGAAGCAAATAAATGTTACTGTAATCCAATAAGAAACTTGAACAGAAAAGATGAGAAACTTTGCCTCAGAGGTAGTAATAGAAAACCTCTGTTCCCAGAGATGCATTAAAAGAACTTATGTTTTTATGCTAGAGCAGCTCATCCTTAAAATAGAACCCTAATAAGTTGACACGGCCCATGAAAGCAGCTGTAAGATAGCTGCAAAGTATGGGAGGGACTTTTCACACTAGAAGGAGATTTTTCCTTTCCCAGACAGCTGATTCACTTTGACATGGAAGCCACAAGAGAACTGTTTCTTGTGGCAAAGTCCTCATAGCATAACAAGAGAGATTACTCTCCCTGAGTAGACTGAAGAAAGACCGTTCTAAGTTTTGTCTTCTTACATTGCCAGTGGGAAAGAAAAAAAGGTGGGGGGGAGGAAAAGTGTTCTGAAGGTTTTATGCTGTTTATTTCTTATTATTTTTCTCTTAATTGTGTTAATAAAGTTTTCTTTACACCCTTTAATGTTTGTGCCTGTTTTGCCCACCTTCTCCTAATGCTTATCCCACAGCAAGAAAATAAGTAAATATATTCTAGTAAGTGCACTGGCACTTAGCCAGCGCTAGACCCACTACATAATTGGTGCATTGGCCAGGAAATTGAACAATTGGCAAGCCAAAGCCTCTACAATCATTAATGATTTGCACTCAAGCTACCTGAAAGTCTACAAATATTTTTCCCTAGAGCTGCCCTTATCATTCCAAATAAAGGGATACTACTACTTTAATAAGTCTTACCTGAAGACAACCCACAGGACTGACACTACCATCAAAACTAATAAAGTTTTTAAATGGAGAGAGAAAAGAGGGGAGATAGATTCACAGAACTGCTAACCATGCTGATTAAAACATTTCTAAAAAGCACTCAGATGTCAGATTCTCAAGAAACTGAACAGAGCACAGCTGCTCATGCCAAGCTTTAACATTTAGAACAAGTTCCATAGATTTTTCTAAGTGATAAAAAACACATAACAGCTGTATTTTCAAACCCTGTAACCACATTCTCACTGAAAAGCTCAGCAGCACACAATTTGCCAGAAAACACAGACCTACAGCTTGCAGGCTCTGGAGAAGGAGAGAGGACACCAGAACCAGGGACAGCCCTGGGATGGGTATTGCTGGGAGACAGCCCTGGTGGTCAGTCACCTTGCCCAAGCCTCTGCTCAAGCAGGGTCACCCAGAGCAGACAGCCCAGGACTGGGCTCTGGCTCCTGAGTGATCTCACTCCCTCGCTCCCTCCTCTGTCTCATTCCCACATCTGTCACCTCTTCTGAACTAATACTCCTGGAGCTGCAGGAGCACAGGATCAAACAGGAGACAGGCGTCCTCCATCTCCCATGTGTAAGATGCTTCCTTGCAGGGAAGGGAAGTCCACAGGAGCAGCTACAAGACCTGTTCCTCTCCCTTTTCTGTTCTGTGACTGCCAGCTTCGAGGTACCAGCTGGTGACAGCCCTGCAGCTCCCTGGTTGCCTTTTTTGCTTGCTGCTTTGTGTTCAGAAAAGCAGATACATAACCTAGTGGTGGTGGTGTTTTATTCCACTACTGATAATTAGTAGATAGCAAGATGTTGCCCTTCTGCACAAAACACCCTTTGACACTGGAAAAAAAAAAAGACAACAACTGTAAATCATTTACATGACACTTCTGTTCTACAAACAGGTGACATATTTGTGCTACTGGTTTTTATCACTCACAGGAAGCAGCTAGCACATGTGTTGCTGTATTGGGCCCAATATAAAAGCAGAATAAAGAGACAGTCCCTGATCTCCCAAAATCTTGTAACCCAGGAGACTGCAAACAATAAGCAAAGAGCAGAAGCTGAACCACAAGGAAAAAAGATGACATAAGTCAACAGGACAACATAACAGGCACAGTTAGCCAGCTGCTCAGCTACCAACAGACCTCACTTCTCCACCAGATTTTACAATCACATCTTCATTTAACAGCACAACTGTATCTGATAAACAGTGTGTGCCACATGACAGCTTTCTGAAACTCCAAGCCCACATTTATCCCATAGTTGGTGCAGGCCAGCTTTCCACAAACAACGATCACTTCTGAGTCAGAGACCAGGGCCATCAAAATCTCCCTCCTCAATTAAAAAACACCAGGCATCCTATTTCAAACACAGGCATGGTAATTTGTGTTTTCTTCCTAGTGAACCTATATATCCTTTTCCAACCTTCTGCAAAACCTACTTAGAAGCCAGACACAAACACACACTGAATTTATTTAGCACTTTAGAACACAGATACCTCCTTGAACGCTTGGCTTCCGTGGCACTTTGGGAATATCCTCAGGGTGTGGTTTACAGAGTCCATGGAAAGGCCCTAAGTCAAAACACTCTTGAAACAAGGAAACATTCACCTCAGAACATAAGCTCATGAATCCTACTGCAGTGCCACCAACCTGGAAGATAAAAACCACGTTACATGAACATGTCTTTCTAGGAAAGGACAAAAAAACTGAACAAAAAAATTTCTGAAACATCAACTTATGTTCCATCTCTGACTGTGCATAATGGAAAACTCTAAAGGAACTATTTCAGCAAAAGTCAAAGATCCTCTTTTATTTTTTACTTGTAATGCATGTACTAGGACCTCTACAGTAGATGTTCTAATTCTTTTTTTTACTTATGACTTGCAAGAGTATTAGGTTTATATATATAGGCCAAATAATGACCTGGAGTTCCAGTAAAACTCTTTTTTTAGCTATGACTTGCAAGAGTATTAGGTTTGTTTATATATATAGGCCAAATAATGACCTGGAGTTCCAGTAAAACTTTTGTTATGGCAAATACACAACATACTTCCAAAAACGTATCATTTTGTTTACAATGAACAGTCCAGATGAAGTAGAACCTGCATTCAGTTAGCTGTAATAGCTGGCTCATTACTGGACACTGATTTGGACCTAAATTTGGCTCAGACTGAAGGGTGTATTTAATTCTCCTAAGAAATTAACTCAAGAAATCAATTATGTATAATATAAGGAGTACCTAATGCAGTACGTATTATTTGCAGCACTTGTAAGCCCCAAATATTTCTGTGTTCTGAAAAAAATCCAAGAGCTAGTCTTAAAACCCAAATGCTCTGGCAAACATGAAAGTGATGGGATCCCTGCATTGGTGGCACCCACGGCACTCTGGATGCCTGAATGCTGCTAGAGTTCTCAACAAGCTGCAGCTCTCAGCAAGACACACACTGGGACCAGGGAGAACTGGCATGCTGGAGAGTGTCTGGCTTTAACCTGGGACAAGTCTAGAAGAAGGAAGCTCCTAAATATTTAGTAGTGTATGCAACTTTCTGGTGAAACACATTATCAAAACACATTTTCCTTCCTCCTCAATACACATAATGAAAAGTCTTCATGAACCTAATGAAAACTCAAATGCTGGATTTGTGCAGCTGCTTTATCAAGCCATCAGCACATCAATAAAGACTTCAAAAAGTGTGACGTTTAATTTTTCTGCCCTCAAAACAACAAGTGATTGTTTGTTTGCCTTGTTTGCGTAACCAACAAAGCCGGGGTGCCACAGTTGCCTGGCTGCTGTGTAATTTCAGGCCCAAGGCTCAGCAGAGGCTGATTAACCAATCCATCTACCATATGTGCAAAAAGAAGCTGCCAGCTTCCTTCTCCGCAGGGGAAGTTGGCATCCATCACGGTTTGCGTGGAGGTGCTTTCCCAGCCTGCTGTGGCAGTGGCAGCTGGGATAAACTGGGGGCTTGGAACACCTTTTGGTGGTCTCACATTGAGCTCTGAACATGCCACTGGAATGTCTTATTTATATAAACAGCCCTCTGCAATGTGCCATTACACTAATGCTGCATTGTTTCCCATTTGGCTCCCAATGGCAGTGATTACAAGTTGCAATTTTATAAAACCATTTGCCACAAAAAGCAGATTTCAGGAATTAAGGAGGTTATATTGCCTATCAGCTTGCACTACCATGCACAATTACCAACACGTGAAAATCTTATCAGGGATTTTCTGCAGGATAACTATTACCACTCCTTTCTTATTTAAATTTATTCCTGGGTTTGTCTTCACTTCAGCAAAAATCTGTTTGAGCCAAAAGAAAAAAATTATCTACAGGACTTAAAACTGTGAAAAGATTACTGGCTACTCATTTTCACATGCAATATTAGCTTTCACTGGGAATGAAAACAGGTCAGTTATAATGCAAATGTCTAAAATGACAACATGGCTTCATCAACACAGTCTGTCCAAATTACTTGAAAATAATCTGCACAAGAATTGGGAATTGCTGCTTCATTTCTGAACGGGAAACATCCCTCCTGAGGACAGACACAAACTGCACTGAGAAGGGCACTCACTGTGTGCGTATAGAGCATGAATTGTACTTTTCACAGGTGGGCTGGTGATTTTATCCCCTGAGCTAGAGTGAGCTGTCACACAGGACATAACCAAGGCTACGATCAGACAAAACCAGAGATCGTGGCAGACTGACCTCACAAACAGCTGCCTGATTTTCTTCACCTTCACGTTCTAGGAGATCAACAAGGAGATATTCACCATAGGTTTCCTTCAGAGTCTCACTTTGAGGTGTCCAGATTAGCATGAGATCATCATAATCTTCCAGCCTACAAAAAAGAGATCAGGTAATATCCTAAGGCTCTGCCATCAGGAGGCCGTGATACTTCTGTTCTACTCCATTAACATATGGAAAAAATATTACAAATACTTGTTCCAAAGCCTGCACCCACAAATCACTTCACCTAGGACACATTCCCAGTGCACACTAAAGTGGGAGTCTCAGCACCAGAGAAACAACCACACCCAAAAGCCAGCAGAACCCACGAAAATCTGCACTGCTCAGTGGTGATGCTTCTCTTGCCTTAAGAAAATATACGGGAATCCCAGCTCAAAATTCTCCTGCCTCACTCTCCTACAACTGTAGTGGAGCACTCAGACAGGTCCCAGCCTACATGGATTTTTTATTTAAACAGGCAACAGAGACTCTTTCCCACTAGAGTGCTAGTCATACCCAGGGTCAATCTAACTCTGAATAAGAAAATCCAGCAATTTAACCACAACAGTGGTAGAATTCATCAGTCACCCATGCTGAGACTATGGCACAAAGGTGGGTGGCAAACCAGCTTTAGCACTCAACTGCTATCAATAACATGAAGCCACTTGTATTTATCTCTTGGAAAAATGCCAGAATTGAGCGGTGCAACCAAAAGCAGCAGAGAGGAACCTGCGGCTGTGTTGGGCTGCCAGAAGGAACAACTGCAACAAACTGCAGGGGAAACCCTCCCTGCTGCGGGCCGGGAGCAGGCGGCTACCTCGGCTACCACACCAACATCCCAGGAACACGCCGGGGGCCGGCGGAGCCCCGCGCGGTCTCTGCCGCCACCCCGCGGCCCCGCCAGGCACGGGCAGCGGCGCCGTCGCTTCGGATGCACAAACTCCTCATCTTCCTGCTCGGGAACCGGGACCGGCCCGCGGCGCTTCCCACGTTTGTCAGCACAAACGTGTGCTGCAGGGAGAACCTGGAGCTTCAAGAGCTTCCCAGCGTTTTGGGAAAACTCCTGTTATGTTCCAGGGACCCAGTGCTCAGGTAGGGAAGTGCCTGTATGCGATACCTGTAAGTTGGAGATCATTGTTCTGCACAGGCAAGAATCCAGAAACAATAAACAGATTCTCAGTGCTACTCTTTATGTGTGTCTGGATTTGGAAGGAGCCTTAAAGACAGCACATCTGGGCAAAAGAGGTTCTGTTTCTCATTGTATCAAACACTGTCCGAGTTCCTCAGCACTGCCTGACTCCAGCACAGGAGAGAGAGGTGGTCAGGGGGTCTCTGGATGCTTTTGCTGCTCCTGCACACCAGAATGGATGTGACCTCTGGGTGATACCACCTTTGTAACCAAGGCTAGGGATCCCTTGGATTCTGACCTTGCACCTGCCTTTTTTTTTTCCCCTCAACTAAAATGAAGCTCCAGCAACAATGAAAACTCCATAAAAACTTACAGTAAATCATTGCTTATCCCTCAAACCAAAATGGTTCCCCTCATCTTCTTCACAGGAGTATCCCAAGGGAAAATCTGCAGTGAGGTTTTCTATTATCAGAACATCACCACCTCAGCACAATTAATTAGTATAGCAAATCTGTTAATAAAATCTCAAACCTCAAAAAAACCAAAAAAAAAGAGGGGTAACAAAACAAGAGTGTATCCTAACTGAACCCTGTTATTTCATGGAGTCTGTAACAGACAGACACCTCCCCCAAATGGAACATTGTGCCAAGTGTTTTGAGTGCCCTGTGTCATTCTGCTCTGTGGGACACAGGACAAGATCACACACAAGGGTGCAGATGGCAGTTCCTGAAGACTGACCCTGTGACAGTCAATGGGACCCTGCACACACCCATTCACCTCCCTGCACACTACTCTGTAGGAGCACAACCATTTTGTTTATTCTGCTTTTAGTATCTTCCACCAGTACAATATTTAAGAAAGTAAGGAAACCCTCCCAGTAAGCTTTCCAATATAAAAACACCACAAAATTCCTCTACTGTGAGTGCAAGCACAGAGCTGCAAATTTGACTCTTGCCTACAGGGCACAAACCCAAGCATGGCAGGATCTAGACAAGACACCAGCAAGAACCTTCAACATCAAAGCTTAGTGGGCTGCATTCTGACACACTGCAACAGCTCACAGTGTAGAAGCAGACTAACTTTGAAATGGATGGTTCAATAAAGTATCAGTTTACAGCTGCTTTTCCCCCTCTGTAAACAGGGGAAGAGGGTACAGAGATTAGGTTAATCTCCTCTCACTGCCCCAGAACGTGTTGCTAGGCAGGTGGCTGCAGACAACATCCACAGAGGAGTCTCTAAGGGCTCCCACTGACTGTTACTATGGATGCCAGTGAAGCACAGGGGTGAATGCAGAGGGAAGGGAAAGGCAGAGCTCCTTCTGCAAACAGAAATTAGCCTTACCTGTTATCCACAGATGGACAACACTGAAGTATGAATTTTGTATCACCACTGTGTAATTTCAGAGGAAAATCAGTTTCCCAGTTAATTTTCTATTAATACCAAAGCCATCAGCAATTTTTACTTTTTATAACAAACTACAAAAATCCCAGACAAGATGGTAGCTCCTATCAAAAATATTTCTATGGCCTAAGTGACATTTCCAGTCACGCAAAAGAACATTTCAATTGACAATGTCCAATGACCACCAAAAAAAAAAAAAAGCTTAAATTGAAAAAAAAGACAAACATGATAGTTGAAACAAGACATATGGAAAGACTTTTAATCTTCAGGCATTAACTCACCTACTGATACCTTCTCTATGTAAAAGTCCATTCACTTAGTTCTAGGTGATAGACAACTCAAAAGAAACACTCAAAAAGCCTAACAATTGTACATTGAGGTAGTATGAGAGAGATTTTTAACATATTGAAATATCCAGAGCTACAGCAGGAAGATGTGAAGCAGCTAAGGTCAGGCCTCAGGCCTTTTTCTTAAAATGCTCATAAGTCGAGCAACAGGAGGAGCATAAGCTGCAGACTGGCTTCAGATCCATGTGGTAAAATTCAATATATGCAATAAAACATCTCAGACTGGCTTCTGTCAGAATGCAGCCCAAGCTGGCAGCATGAACCAGCCATAAATAAACAGTGTGGCTTTACCAATCAGACACATTCAATGTGGCATCACCATCTGCAGGCACTGGTCAGTACAGACCGCCCCCCCCAAATCCATACCATGTGCCAGAGACTGCAAGGAATACACTTTTTCCTTAAACTTCAGTTTCCACTGCAGGCATCAGAAATGTCAATTTAATCACCACTCTGCTACCTAGCCTCAAAGAAACACTTATTTTTACTACCTGCAAAAACTCCAGAATAAATCAGAGTTAAATCAAACTACTGCTTCATAAAACATTACCCTACCAGCAGTGAAGAGAGCAACAAGTAACCCAAAATTCGATGGATACATGTTCTATTTCAACCACACTACAAGGAAAACAACAACAGGAAAATCACCAGGCCCCTGGGTCAGAAACTTGGCATTTCTCACATCCTGGATGCAATGCTGGCACAGGCAGAACACACATGGCAGGAAAAACCAAGAGTGGCAACAGCAGTCTAATTCAGCAGATCACAGAATAAACATCACTGACAAAAAATAAGTCTTCCTACATTGTGAGAATCTATAAGATTAGAGGATTTTAGGAAAGTTGGGAAAAAGAAAAGCCTCAGAGACAGCAAGGATAGTGAAATGGTAAAGCAGCAGAAAATATATATTGGCAGTAGCGAAGATGTGAGAAATAGAACAAGAAAGCTGTGTAGTTTGGCTTTCTAAGTTGCAAAAGATATATTTTAGTAAATATTTAGAAAGTTAAATATGAATGGGGCTCTGTGCACTGTCTTTTACAAACAGACCATTGTAAGAGAGAAAAAGCTGCTATTGTTTTAACCAAAACTGTGTGTGCTTCATGTAGTTGGATAGAACTACTGTCAATATGCTTTTGCTCTATGTAATTAGCTGAAACTAAGTCTGAGATTGTCTTATAGTATGTTGCAACATTAAGTTTCCTCGGCCTGCTGTCTGGATAGCGAGCTGCTCGCATCAATCCATTGTCATAGCCACGTAATGAGACTGATGCTTCTTAAATAAAAAGCTCACAACACTATTCAGATGTGGTCCCATTCTGGTCATACCTGTATATAAACTGCCAGAGTCACTACATAGCTAACTAGCATTCACAAAAATACATTTCGCAATGAAATAGAACAAAACCAGCATAATCCTGGAACTACCTAGTTTGGTTATCACAGAAAACCAGAGCAGCCAAGTGAAGCTACTGATGCTGCAAACCAAAGAAGGAAAAAGCTTCAGTTTCCCCCAGCCAGATGTGCTCAGGGAAGCAGAAGCAAGGAGCTGCGTTACCTCGCTTGGCGCACGTACAGCCGTGGGTGACACCGATGCCTCGGGCATGCCAGCAAGGTGAAGCGTCTCTCCATGGGTGAGCCTGGAACAGGCACCATCCTTTCAAAGACATTCCTCACATCCAGCTCTGAATGCCTAAAACCTGTCAGGGAAACAGAGAAACTTCATTATGCAAACTTTAAATTAGCAGCAACACTGTCTGAGGAAAAAGGAGTTTCAAACTTAAACTACAGATAGTAAAATGCTCCAAGTCTTTTAAGTTAGGCAATGAGGCTGAAATGACAGCAGCACAGATGTGTGAGAATCATCACCAAAGTCATCTAATTAATCCAGCATTCCAAACTTGAATAAGCTTCAAAGCAATCAGAAATTGGTAGAAAACAATCCCTATCAGAATAATACAGTCAATTCTCTATGCCTTTGGAGAACCTCTGTCAGGACTCCATGCTGAAGGAAAGCTGATGCTGGTTGCCAGGGTGGATTTGACAAAACCCTTAATTCAGGCCCTGTTTTCTGTAGTTGACACACCACTACAGTCTTTTAGAGTGACTTGGAACCAACATGTCTAGAGGCCAGCATATCAGAAAAGTTCCAGCTCCCTTTTCAGCTCAATTTAGTGCATGGTTGGTTTATTAGACGGAATTCAGGACGAAAATTCCACATCTGGTGCTGTTCTCTGATTAACACGTGTATTCTCTACCTTTGTATCTTTATTCTAGAGGAAATAATCTGAGTTTCCTTCCATGTCTCCAGCCGCCCCTCTGAGCCTCACCAAAGTGTCTTCTTCCAACCTGCACTAGCTTGGCTAAGAGAAAGTGCCCAATTTCAAATCTCTTGGCTCTATTCAACCAGAAATCTTCACAAAACTTGTAGGTATTGACTTTTGAGACCTTTACTCCTTTCTGATTCTGGCAAATTTAAAGATTGCAGGGGATGGACAGATTGCTGAATGGCTGCTGGAGTGAGCATGGAACCACAGGTATCTCTTGCACATGGGATCTTCACAAGAAGATACCTTTAGATTATGTTTTTCACGTGTCTAGAAACTGATAACTGTTCTCAGTATTAAAAAAAGAACACCACAACAAGCTCACAGTGCATATTAATTAGGTTTGCAATTGCTTTTACTTCAAGAATAAAACAGTTTTAAGCTCTTACCTAACCTCTCCGCAGATGGTACAAAGAGAAGTATAAACTGCAGTTCTGGCAGTAAGAGGAAAGCTTTCCTAGACAAAGAACAAATATATTCAGTCTTTCATTATTACACCCATCAATGACAGACAGCAGCTAGCTTTTTTAGTATTTTTTTTCTCTAATGTCTCTAACATTCCTTCATAAGTCCACGTGGCTCCACACTTAAACCATTTCTGACAAACAAGATAATGTGAAATTTATCTGGGTAATTTTGACTGGTTTTTCCTACCTTATTTCTTTCAAATTTCCCAATCTTTACACTTCAAACATTCTCTTTTTTTTATAGCAGTTTCCCAGTGGTGAAATATTTAAGATATCAGGCCTCTGCTGGCAGATCTCTGACAGGGCATCTGGATGAGACTGCTTGAGTTGACAGACGTGATTTGACAGCAGGAGAGGGCACGTGCCTCACTACCCAAGGCTAGACAGGAACTCACCTAACAATTTCTTGGGAACATCCAGCTCCATAATCTTCCTTTGCCACAAAGAGATGCACGAAGAGCGTGTTCAAAGGCTACAAAACAAGGAGTGAAAGTCTCCACACCATGCAGCTCATGTTTATTCCATCAGCCCAAGTATTAGTATGCATATACATTTCCAGCATACACAATCTGCACTCAAGGAACAGCAAAATAGACATAAGTGACATCAAAGCATGTGTGGGTAAAGTTATATTATTGAAGTGCTTTATATGATTTTTATATGATTTTGTGCTTCTGCAACATTTTTTTCTTTCTACTCAGTTTACTATTGTTTGACTGCAATATACATCATACATTTTGTATTGAACAGTATTAATTCTTGACTAACAACATGGAACTACATTAACCATGTGTCTAACAAAGACATTCTTTTTAGATTGAAAAAAAAAAAAAACCCTCAAACCAAAAGGTCACCTGCTTCTCATAATCCTAAAGTGGTTTTTCTTTAAAGGTATTAAGAAAAATTACATATTTTAAGAGGACATTATTAGACACACAAATACCAGGCAGAAACAGGGCAGACTAACAGACACCTTTATCTTGTGCACCTCCAGTAAACATGGAAAACCCCTGTGCTGGAATGGCAAGGGCTATTAAATCAGCTGCTCTCTAGCATATTAATTACAAGTGCTGGGTCAGTGAAGGTCTGCCTGTAGATAAAAATACTTTAAATGGAAAACCTGAGATCTTCTGAATAGTATAATATTCAATTAAAACACCATAGCTAGAGGCACCAACAAACTTCAGCAATTTAAGAGCAAGAATGAGTTCAATAGAGGCTGCAGTACATGGATCAGCATCAGGACAACAAGCTATTGTAACAAACATGCAAAGACATCCCTAAACATCAGGCAGTTTGTGTTTTTAGAAGCAAAGGGAAGAAATAAAACAAATATATTACTGTTGAGGTCTGAGAGGACACCAAGTAAACTAGATGTGGACCACAACTGTTTCTGAATAGTGTTGGTAACCAGAAAATCCAGTAAAGAAGCATCTTCACTTATTCCTTTCTGCAAGCCAATTCCCACTTCCAAGCCTGAAATTAGTTCTGTACTCTAGGAAAAAGCCAGGTCAACTATACATGACAGAATTCCTATGTTCAGATGACCTCAGTTTTGAAAAGCACACCTGCATGGATTTAACCTAGAGTTTACCAATGACATCTCAAGTTATACCCCAGAAAACATTCAGAGCTTCTGCCAATGCAGAAACATAAAACACTAAATCTTCTACACCTCCTTTAGCAAATAAACTCCATTCTAGAAAAACAGAATGCTGTCTCTTTCAAGGTATTTTTCACTACTGGTTCTGGGCAGTAATTAATTTTTCTTGTCTTTTCTCTGTAGGGCCCTACAATAGATCCCACAGAGCCACCAGACAGCCTGAGGGAGATCACAGCACAGCAGAACCCCCAGAGCAGCTGCAGCTGTACCCTGAATGAAGTGGCTGCCCACAAAGTGCTACTCAAGGGACAAACAAAGTCCATTACAAGGAAATCACAGGTCCTTTTTGCACGCTCCCCTTGGCTGCACTGGTGGCGTTTCCTTTAAGAGCACACATTTTCAAACAATGTTTTTGTCAGTTTACCTCCAAGCCATTGCTTAACATCACAGAAGACCCTGGGCAACTGATGAACAAAATGCCCAGAGATAACTGCAGCACTGCCAACACCTTATTATGGCACATGCTGCACACCTTATGAGTGCTTGGTGTTTCACATTTTCTGTATTTTCTCAACAATCCCACAATCTAGTTCCCAGCTGGACTTGGTGATGGGGGAGCATTTGAGTGCTAAACTCCTAAGGGCCTGTTTGTAGTCTGTAGATCCTACCAGAAAGTCACAAGCTCCCCCAAGCAGCAGTCTCCCCACCAGCACTGAACAAGTTCACTGCAGAACTAAAGCTCCCCTTGCCAGCACGAGGGTTTGACAAGGACTCCATCACCTTCTGTATCCTGAATGCCTCAATTCTACTGGAAACAGAGTGTGGACACCCATGTGTATTTTCCATACCTGAGCCTTAAATGAAAGCTCAACTAAAATCACACAATTTACTTACAGTGCACTTATCGTTGGTGTAGTTTTTGTGCAGGAATGGTTCCCATTCAGCCTGATCAGTGATATTCCAATTTGGATAGTCCAGAAAGGCAGCATGGGCTATAACCTCATTCTTCTCATTGCAGATTGTCAAAGCAAGATTTGATAATTCTCTATGAAAACAATTCAATTTTGCACAAGTTGAAGAAGCTCCACATAGAAAAGAGACTGACTGTGAATTTAGCCTGCTGGAACAGCAAAATTAGCCATGTTCAAGAGGGTTCCCAGGATCAGGCCTCAATAAAACTTCATCACCCACATGTTAACTTGGAATTGTTGCTTCAGTTCCACATATTTGTGTTCTAACACTATAAAAATTCAGGTGGATTTTCAAATCCTCAATCATATTAGTAAATTTGAGATGCAAGAACTTAAACATTCCCTTCCATCTGTATGGTTCTTCACACCTCTCTTTTCCCCCAAACAGCTGTTATCCGGGATTTTTGCTATTAAGGGGGAAAAACGTAAGTGACCCACCAGTACCTGTCTGTCACACAGCCTATCTGCTGACTGTTTTTTCTCAACAGCATTTCTTCTGAGCTTTTATAAAAGGAAGCTAGTATAGAATTAAACCTTGTCCACCATGGCAGAGACCCAGGTTTGCACAGTCATGCATGTGACAGACATGAAAGTAGATTTTCTTTCCATTTTTAGAAACAGCACAAAAAGTCATTATATCACACCATGTCAAGGCTCAGAATGTTTTCTGCCATTTTATGTGCAATTTCCTGAAAGGTGACAACCCAAAACACCATTACTTACAAGAGGTAAGTGACATCAATCCTTCCGAAGAGGTCTTCTGTGACAGGGCTGAAGAGGCTGATAATGCCTGGGACATCATGCGACTCTGTCCTTCTGGCAGTGAGCACATCTGTATTTCCCCTTGAGGAGGTTACTGTGGCCATCCCACCAGCCCTGAGAACCAAGGAAAACACTGCTAGCCCCAGCCATCCCCTGCCCAACACTTCAGGGGAGTTTTCATAACTCTAAATTGGAGCAGAGTCTATGGATTTGGTGCCTGGTTCCTGCATATCTCCACACAGATATGCACTGCCTGAACTGCAGCAGGCAATCACTCCTACGGTCTGGATCCTACAGAAGAAATTAATTTTAATAGGCTACACCTGCTTTCCTGTTTATTCATTGGCATGCTAACCAGCTCATCACCAAGAACTTCAAACTCAAAGGACTTCAGTGGGAGGCTCAGCTGCAAACAATCAGGGACAGAAAGTCCCGATTAAACAGCAGCTTCAGGTGAGTTAGCTGCATTTTATCCAAAACTGCTCATCGAATTTCTCTTCGGGTCAACAGCAGGGCTTAAAATTCTGAAGGAATTCAAAGTTCTGTGGCTATTCAAAGTTCTACTGCTTTCCTATACATCACCACTCTGCCAAACACGACAGCCACTTCCAACAGTGACTCCAAATGCAGATGCTCAGTTATTAGGCACCACAATTCCTAACTAAAGTGAAAAACCAAAAGAAAGGCAGATTTCACACCTTTTAAATAGAGTCACATGCACTCCTACCTCTTCCACAGACAAACAGGACATTCCAGCGCGGGTCCTGAAATTAACCTGAAGCAACACATCCCGTGCAAACAGGCGTCAATTTAAAACACGAAAACTAACATGAACTTTAACAGATAGAGTCACATGCACCCTGCATCTTTCACAGACAAACAAGACATTCCAGCGCGGGTCCTGAAATTAACCTGAAGCAACACATCCCGTGCAAACATGCGTCAATTTAAAACACGAAAACTAACATGAACTTTAAAGGGCCATTCGCCGCACTAAGATGACTTCAACTGAGGAAAACCGCTTGCCACATTTTCACAGTCGATAGTTTAACTTGACGCAAAAAAACCAAAAATACACCCGCATCTCCGCCGGCTCCCCTAAACGCTCCCGCAGGCAGAGAAAGCAGCACTTTTACAGTGAAAATGTACCATTCTCGTAAGGAATGCGCTGTTCCTACAGCCACTCCTGCACTGGTCCCGCGGAGCGGCATCCCAGGGACACCCAGCAGAAGGAGCAGAGGAGGGCGATCCCCTCCCGAACTTAGAGCAGTTCCCTCCCGCCGCCTCACACAAACGCTCTCTTGAAGCATAAGCAAGACTTCATGCGGATTTTTTTCGTTGTTTGCAGCCCATACCTCAGGAGGGCTGTGAAGAGCCGCGGGAGGCTGATGCGGGCGGCTCTTGAGGGGCACCCCCCGTGGCGCGAGGCGGGGAGGGGCCGGACTGAGGCGGGGCCGGGGGCTGTACCGCGGGATAGGGCGGGGGCTGGACACCGGGGTTGGGCACAGAAGCTGGACACCGAGGGCTGGACACCGGGGCTGAACACCCTCGCTGTCCATGGACACCCCCGAGGCGGCCTCACGGAGCCCCGGGCGCGAACGATCCCCCCTCAGGCGGGCGGGCCACGCCCACGCACGCGAGCAGCCCCACACCGCCGAGCCGCCAGGAGGCGCCCCGCGGAGCGCGGGCACAGCGCCGGGCACTCACCTGCCCTCTCCCCGTCCACAGAGCGCCCCAAGGACAGGAAAGACGGGGCAGATGGCACAGATCAGCCCGCGGGCGAGACAGACCGAACAGGCGGTCCCACGGACGGAACGGACAGCCCCGCCGCCGCCGCCGCTGCCGCCCGGGGGTCGCGTCGCCGTTACCGCGGCAACGACGCGCGGGCGGCGCTGCGTGAGGTCAGGGGTGCCGGGGCGGGGCCTGCGCGCGCAGCGGCGGCAAGATGGCGTCCACGGCGGCTGGGAAGCAGCGCATCCCCAAAGTGGCCAAGGTGGGCGGCGGGGAGCGCGGCGGGGACCCCCCGGGACCCCTCCATCCCCCTCGGTCCCCACTCGCCCCGGGCCGTCGTGTCCCGGCGCCGGAGGAAGTGGATGGTCTCGGTGCTGCGTTAGGAAACGTGAGCTGAGCCCCCCCTCCTTGTACTTGCCTTGCAGGTGAAAAACAAGGCACCCGCCGAAGTTCAGATCACAGCGGAGCAGCTGCTGAGAGAGGCGAAGGAGAGGGAGCTCGAGCTTCTGCCACCGCCCCCGCAGCAGAAGATCACAGATGTTGAAGAGCTAAATGATTATAAACTCCGGAAGAGGAAGGTACTGTAAAAAAAGCCAACAAACTGGTTTGATCTCAACATTTACATAAAGTACTGAAATTCCATTGTTTTTAACTTAAACAAGATGTAGTCCATATTGCTGGTGGACTTTCCAGGTGGACACCAATTCTTTAAAACCCTTTTTTCATGCTACTCTTTAGCAAAACCTGCAATTTGTAGATGTGTTGCTTGACAAAATCTGGATGCAAGCAACATCTCCCCCATGCCTATGTTCAGAACACTGAAAGGGTAATTATTTACACAATTAATTGGTGTTTTTTGCATTACCAGCTGTATCTTGCCAGCTGCTATAAAAACACTAACAAAAAAAAGTAAATAACATTTCAGTAATGTTGAGTTATAAATCTTTAGAAGTAATTGTTTTGCTTGTGCAGATTTACCCATGGTTTTGCTTGGCTTTTTGCTTTGAAAATGCCTAAGCAAAGCAACCATATTCCTAATGGTTATTAGAATAGCCCATAAGCTATTTTTGATGTTAATGGTCTGCAGAAGGATTTCTGACTTACAGGTGTAACTTTCCCCTCAGACTTTTGAAGATAACATAAGAAAGAACAGGACTGTTATCAGTAACTGGATAAAGTACGCACAATGGGAAGAAAGCCTGAAGGAAATCCAGAGGTAACGATGATGCAGGCATCTCTTAGAACCCTTTTTAGACACACACCAAAGCCTGGGAGGCACATTTTACCTTCCCTGTCCTCATGTTTTCCAGAGCCCGTTCCATTTACGAGCGTGCCCTGGATGTGGACTACAGGAACGTCACCCTCTGGCTGAAATATGCCGAGATGGAGATGAAGAACCGCCAGGTCAACCACGCCCGGAACATCTGGGACCGGGCCATCACCACCCTGCCCAGGGTGAACCAGTTCTGGTACTGTGCCTGAGCAGTGAGATCCCCTTCTGGCCCCAGAGACCCCCCGTGGGGTTATGCAGATTATCCTGCTTCTCCAAGTCTTCTCCTAGTCTGAAAAAAAGTGGAGGAAGGCTGAAGTTTTGGAAAGGTTTTGTACTTTTGAAGCGGCAGGAGCCTTGGGGGAGAAGGATGTTTGTGTGCCTGGATGCTGCCAGTCACTGCTGTGCTTACAGGCATTTCTGGGGTGGGAGGAAATAGCTGAGGGATGCTCTTAGGAAGCACTCCAGAACCCCTGAATGGACGTGTTCAGCATGTGATGGCAGAACCTCCACCTCCTTTGCCCAGGTACAAGTACACGTACATGGAGGAGATGCTGGGGAACGTTGCTGGGTCACGCCAGGTGTTTGAGCGGTGGATGGAGTGGCAGCCAGAGGAGCAAGCCTGGCATTCCTACATCAACTTCGAGCTCAGATACAAGGAGGTGGACAGAGCACGAAGCATTTACGAGAGATATATCCTTTTCAGAGCCTCATGACTCCTGCCTAGGTTAAGATTTCCATTTCCTTCCCAAGTATTCCATGTCCAGCAGTGTCCCTGTGGTGTGCTGGGAATGAGCCACCACCCTGGGAGCCAGCAAGAGGTGTTAAAAGCATGTTTAGGGAAAGCCTCCAGTGGCTGTGGGTCCTGCCACAGCAGTGTCTGTTTAACTGCACTGCCCATCCATCGTTTGTTTCAGGTTTCTCCTCACATTTTCCCTGACCCTTATCCCTTTTTAAGTTCGCAGTAAGGCGCAAAACCTTTTGCGTGCTTATACCCGTCAGCGTCTTCTTCCCAGCTGCATTTATTGCTCCCCACGTGTGCCGTGCTGGGAGATGTCCCTGGGAAGAGCACAGCTGGGGATGTGCCACTCAGGCAGCGCTGTTTCTTTAACAAGAGCTGCACTTGTCCTCGTTCACCCCGACGTGAAGAACTGGATCAAGTACGCGCGCTTCGAGGAGAAGCACAGCTACTTTGCCCACGCCAGGAAGGTCTACGAGAGGGCAGTGGAGTTCTTCGGGGAGGAGCACATGGATGAGCACTTGTACGTGGCCTTTGCCAAGTTTGAGGAGAACCAGAAAGAGGTAAGATGTTCTTGGTAACGCATCTGAGTCATGCCAGTGTTTCTCCCTGAGGATCAAAACTGCAGGCATTTAACGTTCACTGCAATACTCGCAGTTGCCAGCACCTCGTGACTGTAGTCTGAGTTAGGGAGACAGTTTTCTGCTCACCTCTAGTTGCCTTTTCAATAAAATGTGCTCTAGGGGAGATCTGCCAAGCCCAAGACCAACAGCATTGGTTCAAACCTGTATCCTCAGACTGGAGTTTATGGGCCTGCATGATAGAAAACTGGATGTTTTTCACATTCTCTAAGGTTCCCAGGCTGTTATGAAATTGAAGACATTCTGTGAACCCCAAACCACAACCTTTTAAAGTGGTTTAAATATTCTAAGCCTGTAAATGAATAAGAGATGATGGGGGCTGGCATTTTCAGGTTTATTTTTTCCCCCTCAAAATTTACTCTTCAGGGAGATCTGTGTTAGTCCTGTTCTAAAACAATTGCTTACCTTAGGATGTCCCACAGTTTAATATTCTATTAAATATTGCCAAAAACTCATTGAAAAACTATCAGGGAGGACAGAAACTGCTTTGTAAATATTTTTCAAATGATATTTAATATTTTCAGTTTGAAAGAGTGAGGGTTATCTACAAGTATGCCTTGGATAGAATTCCAAAGCAGGACGCCCAGAATCTCTTCAAGAATTACACCATCTTTGAGAAGAAGTTTGGAGACAGGAGGGGAATTGAGGACATCATTGTCAGCAAGAGGAGATTCCAGTATGAGGAGGAAGTGAAGGTATGTGGATCAGGTACCCTCCAGGCTC